CTCTCTCTGTCTGCCTCTCTCTCTCTCTCTGTCTGCTCTCTCTCTGTGCCTCTCTGTGCCTCTCTCTGCGCCTCTCTCTCTGCGCGGTTCTTCCTGTCTGTCTCTGCGCGTCTCTCTCTGCGTTTCTCTCCGCGCGTCTCTCTCCGCGCGTCTCTCTGCGCGTCTCTCTCCGCGCGTCTCTCCTCTCTCTCTGCGCCTCTCTCTCTGCGCAGATCTCTCTCTGCGCCTCTCTCTCTGCCTCTCTCTGCGTCTGATTTCTGCCTGCCTCTCTCTCTCTCTCTCTGCGTCTGTCTCTCTCTCTCTCTCTCTCTCTCTCTCTCTCTCTCTCTCTCTCTCTGCCCCTCTCTGCCCCTCTCTCTGTGTCTGTTTTTGCGTCTCTGATTGCCTCTGTCTCTCTGTCTGTGTGTCTCTCTCTCTGCCTCTCTCTGCGCGTCTCTCTCTGCGCGTTTCTTCCTGCGCGTCTGTCTCTGCGTCTCTCTCTGCGCGTCTCTCTCTGCGCGTCACTCTCTGCGCGTCACTCTCCGCGCGTCACTCTCTGCGCGTCTCTCTCTGCGCGTCACTCTCTGCGCGTCTCTCTCTGCGCGTCTCTCTCTCTCTCTCTCTCTGCGTTTCTCTCTCCGCGCGTCTCTCTCCGCGCGTCTCTCTGCGCGTCCCTCTCCGCTCGTCTCTCTCTCGCCTCTCTCTCTGCGCCTCTCTCTCTCTGCGCCTCTCTCTCTGCCTCTCTCTGCGTCTCTCTCTCTGTGTCTCTCTCTCTCTCTCTCTCTCTGTGCGTCTCTCTCTCTCTCTCTCTCTCTCTGTGTCTCTGTCTCTCTCTGTCTCTCTGTCTCTCTGTCTCTCTCTCTCTGTGTCATTCTCTCTCTCTCTCTCTGTCTCTCTCTCTCTCTCTCTCTCTCTGTGTCTCTCCCTCTCTCTCTCTCTCTGTGTCTCTCTCTTCTCTCTCTATCTGTTTCTCTCTGTCTGCGTCTCTCTGTCTGTGTCTCTTTGGCTGTGTCTCTCTGCCTGTATCTCTCTGTCTGTCTCTCTCTGTGTGTCTCTCTCTGTGTGTCTCTCTCTGTGTGTGTGTCTCTCTCTGTGTGTCTCTCTCTGTGTGTCTCTCTCTGTGTGTCTCTCTCTGTGTGTCTCTCTCTGCGTGTCTCTCTCTGTGTGTGTCTCTCTCTGTGTGTCTCTCTCTGCGTGTCTCTCTCTGTGTGTCTCTCTCTGTGTGTCTCTCTCTGTGTGTCTCTCTCTGTGTGTCTGTGTGTGTGTGTCTCTGTGTGTCTCTGTGTGTCTCTGTGTGTGTCTGTGTGTGTGTCTGTGTGTGTCTGTGTGTGTGTGTCTGTTTGTGTCTGTGTGTGTGTCTGTGTGTGTGTCTCTGTGTGTCTGTGTGTCTGTGTGTCTGCTTGTCTCTGTGTCTGTGTGTCTCTATGTCTCTGTGTCTGTGTGTCTGTGTGTCTGTGTGTCTGTGTGTCTGCGTCTCTGCGTCTCTGTGTCTGTCTGTGTCTGTCTGTGTCTGTCTGTGTCTGCCTGTGTCTGTCTGTGTCTGTCTGTGTCTGTCTGAGTCTGTCTGTGTCTGTCTGTGTCTGTCTGTGTCTGTCTGTGTCTGTCTGTGTTTGTCTCTGTCTGTCTGTGTCTGTCTGTGTCTGTCTGTGTCTGTCTGTCTGTGTCTGTCTGTGTCTGTCTGTCTCTGTGTCTGTCTATGTGTCTGCGTCTCTGCGTCTCTGCGTCTCTGCGTCTCTGCGTCTCTGCGTCTCTGCGTCTCTGCGTCTCTGCGTCTCTGCGTCTCTGCGTCTCTGCGTCTCTGCGTCTCTGCGTCTCTGCGTCTCTGCGTCTCTGCGTCTCTGTCTCTGTGTCTCTGTGTCTCTGTGTCTCTGTGTCTCTGTGTCTCTGTGTCTCTGTGTCTCTGTGTCTCTGTGTCTCTGTGTCTCTGTGTCTCTGTGTCTCTGTGTCTCTGTGTCTCTGTGTCTCTGTGTCTCTGTGTCTCTGTGTCTCTGTGTCTCTGGGTCTCTGTGTCTCTGTGTCTCTGTGTCTCTGTGTGTCTGTGTGTCTGTGTGTCTGTGTGTGTGTCTGTGTGTGTGTCTGTGTGTGTCTGTGTGTGTGTTGTGTGTGTGTCTGTGTGTGTCTGTGTGTGTGTGTGTCTGTGTGTGTCTGTGTGTGTGTGTGTGTGTGTGTCTGTGTGTCTGTGTGTGTCTCTGTGTGTGTCTCTGTGTGTGTCTCTGTGTGTCTCTGTGTCTCTGTGTCTCTGTGTCTCTGTGTCTCTGTGTCTCTGTGTCTCTGTGTCTCTGTGTCTCTGTGTCTCTGTGTCTCTGTGTCTCTGTGTCTCTGTGTCTCTGTGTCTCTGTGTCTCTGTGTCTCTGTCTCTGTGTCTCTGTGTCTCTGTCTCTGTGTCTCTGTGTCTCTGTGTCTCTGTGTCTCTGTGTCTCTGTGTCTCTGTGTCTCTGTGTCTCTGTGTCTCTGTGTCTCTGTGTCTCTGTGTCTCTGTGTCTCTGTGTCTCTGTGTCTCTGTGTCTCCGTGTCTCTGTGTGTCTGTGTGTCTGTGTGTCTGTGTGTCTGTGTGTCTGTGTGTCTGTGTGTCTGTGTGTCTGTGTGTCTGTGTGTCTGTGTGTCTGTGTGTCTGTGTGTCTGTGTGTCTGTGTGTCTGTGTGTCTGTGTGTCTGTGTGTCGGTGTGTCTGTGTGTCGGTGTGTCTGTGTGTCTGTGTGTCTGTGTGTCTGTGTGTCTGTGTGTCTGTGTGTCTGTGTGTCTGTGTGTCTGTGTCTCTGTGTCTCTGTGTCTCTGTGTCTCTGTGTCTCTGTGTCTCTGTGTCTCTGTGTCTCTGTGTCTCTGTGTCTTTGTGTCTCTGTGTCTCTGTGTCTCTGTGTCTCTGTGTCTCTGTGTCTCTGTGTCTCTGTGTCTCTGTGTCTCTGTGCTCTGTGTCTCTGTGTCTCTGTGTCTCTGTGTCTCTGTGTCTCTGTGTCTCTGTGTCTCTGTGTCTCTGTGTCTCTGTGTCTCTGTGTCTCTGTGTCTCTGTGTCGCTGTGTCTTTGTGTCTGTGTGTCTGTGTGTCTGTGTGTCTGTGTGTCTGTGTGTCTGTGTGTTTGTGTGTCTGTCTCTGTGTCTCTGTGTCTCTGTGTCTCTGTGTCTCTCTGTCTCTCTGTCTCTGTGTCTGTGTGTCTGTGTGTCTCTGTGTCTCTGTGTCTCTGTGTCTGTGTGTCTGTGTGAAAGTGTGTCTGTGTGTCTGTGTCTCTGTGTGTCTGTGTGTCTGTGTGTCTGTGTGTCTGTGTGTCTGTGTGTCTGTGTGTCTGTGTGTCTGTGTCTTTGTGTCTCTGTGTGTGTGTGTGTTTGCGTCTCTGTGTCTCAGTGTCTCTGTGTCTCTGTGTCTGTGTCTGTGTCTGTGTGTGTGTGTGTGTCTGTGTGTGTGTGTCTGTGTGTGTGTTCGGTTTGTGAAACAGCGTGAACAACTGCAAAGCTGGGAAACATGAAACGAAATCGGCCTGAAGTAGGCCAGGTACACCAGGTAGAGCCGGACTGTGTCGGTTCTCAGGCTCCTCTGCGACTGGTGCATCCAAGCAACCCAATTGCCTTGGCTCAACTCACGCATGTTCAACATCCGTAAATCATTCCCCGCAACAATGGCGCAGATCTGCGCAAGGCTCAACAAATGGCCAGCAGGTCCTGGATGGGAATGATCTCGGCGTCCTCCCTAGAGAAAGAACCCTCCCCGCAAGCGTGCAAAACTCACATGTCATTGCAATCCTTACAAACCACTAATTGAATGGTCGCAATGGTGAGTCACCCCGTTTTCCATCAGTTGGTTTATGAAGGGGCCCTCCCCCCAAATCAACCTCTTGTACTCGGCGACGACCTACCCAACTGCACGCCGAGGTACGGTGTCATGTTTGTGCATGAAGGGCTGGCAGGTCACCCCGGCAAGAAAGTGCACTGGTTTGGTAAGCTTAGCAGGTTTGGTAAATAAATGCAAAATGTCCAAGAAGCCCAGCACTTCCTGTTTGCTGACTGTCAACACAAGGAGTTGCGGCCTGCATGCATCAACCAATTTGCCAAGCCAGAAGGGTCCAATTGAAGAGCCAACAGCTGCATGCGAAGATCCAACATCAGCGCAGCATCTTGTAGATCCACACCTCGAAAGTGCGCTGTGGGCATAAAGCAAGCATGATCGCCGTCACGTCATGCGTTGCAAAATCCAACATAACTGGGAGACCAGAGCCACAAGTGTGTTAGCTACAGGGGTTGTCAAAATCCTTGTATGACGCGCGCCTACCCATGCCCTGTGTGCCCGCGCGTGTACCTTCGTGCGCGGAAGGTCTATCTTTCATTCCCATTGGTCATGAGGCTGTTGCGTTGCACACCTGGGGTACGCAACCTTGTTGTCGGCGCTTGAACACGCATGATACAAATGGCCTTAGGTCTCGAAACACTGCGCCTGCAATTTCCTGATTGCTGTTAAGCCGGCGAGATCGCTTGCAACAATTCCTTTGCTAAAGTTTTGGGATTTTGTAAACCCCCCGCCCGACATGCGCGTACAGCATCATGGGCCATATGCTAGCCCACTTCAGCTGCCGGGAGGTGAGTTGGAAGGCGAGTCCTTCAAAGCACGGCGGTTCATGAGCATAAAACAAATCAAGCACGGCTGGGCTAGCTTAGAAGGGCGGGAGAAAGGGCTTCAAAACCGAAATGTTGGGCGCAGGTGCACCAGCTAGGCGCGGTCTAGGCGTTGCGCGGTGCACTGCTCCGACCCTGATATCCCTTAGTTCCAAGCAGCTGCTTTCAGGACACGCCTTTTTATCCAGGTCGCACGGGCGCACGGCTCCGCTGGGCGCGGCCTCGTCACCGGGCTGACAACCAGGAAGAAAGAAATCAGGGGTTCCTGAAACCGGAAAACCTATCCAACTAGAAAGCAACAATCCAATCCCAGGGGTAAGTACAAGAACTGGCAAGAAATGATGTGTAGGGCGTTGGTCTGACAGCGCCAAATGAATGATCCAGCGCATGGATTGTAGGGGAAATCTACTTTGAGCTTTGAGATATTATTTGCTTGAAAAGAACATGATCGGCCCAGCTTTGCTTGCAGCTATCCAAGGGCAACCTACCCGGCAGTGGTCCACAAAACAAAAGTGAGGAAAGCAACGCTTGAGGACCGCTGCAAATCCAACTTGCTTTGCAAATTGGGGTTCGGCAACTGAAAGAGAGACCGAGAAGGAAACCAAGCACTCATCGTTGACAGTGGCTCTTGACCAAGGACATGCATGCATTGCTTGCAGATTCTTAGTCCTTGCGAGGTTAACAGGTCCAAACTGAGTCGGTGCAATGCCTCGCATGGAGCCAAAAAACGTGTTCATCACAGTGCTTCCAAGCTGCTGGGCTCACATGCCTGAAGTTCAACCTTGATACAGTTGCGCAGGTAGCTTGTGGCAGGGATGAGCACCTGTTTCGTGCTTCTGTTGCTGAACATGCCCTCCTTCAAGCCTTGGTCCGAAAAGGTGGTCGTCTCTCTGTTGATGATGCCGCCAAAGTTCTTCTTGGCGATGATGCGGGCGCCCTTCTGGCTCTCCGTCTCCCCGTCTGCTTTGCCTTCCTCAATGGGGGACCACCCCTGTCGCGCAAGGTTCTCCAAGTGCTCACGGGTGAGTGGGTCTTTGGCCAAACCAGCCAGCCCTTCTGTACCTCGTACGCTGAAGGGGTCGAAGGAGTCTTCTGCACCAAGCTCGAACTGTTGAAGAAGCTTATCGATTGCCTGCTGGCAGAGAAGTATGTTGCCGCCGAAGATCATGTAGAACTCCTGGCAACGCGAGTGAAACAAACTCTCGCATCAACCTCGAACATCCGTTATTTGTTTGTAGTCGTGCGTGTCTGCGGGGTGTATTACCGTTCGTGTCAAAACTAACTTGTGATGCGCTCCCACAAGCAAGCCTACGCTAACCAGAAACCCCAAGAACGCTCCTCCGCCACATCCCAAGGCAAACCCCACTCTGTCAGCAAGGCCAGCATTGGATCCCGTTCAACCTCCGGAATCACGATTGTCTTAAGGGCATCGTACTTGTTGAAACCAAGTGTTTCCAAGGCGTATGGGAAGGCAAAATCGGAGGCAGTCAAGATGACGCAAGCCTGGCAGCTTTCCTTTGTCATTGCCACAAAGGTGGCAAGGGCCCGCAAGGCTGCGTCCCTCTTGGATTTGCTGTCTCCATTGCCATTCGCATTCGGAAAAGCCATGTTGGCTTCGTCGATGATCATTGTCGGGATCTTGGCCATTTCCACTGCTGCGCTAACGAAAGCCCAGAGAAACTCTTGCGGCTTGGGCACATTCAGCAATTCGGAAAAAGCAAGCTCCACTCCACCTTCCGCATCACCCTTCTTCACGCTCTCCTTGCCAAATGCTCGAGCAAGGGCAATCGCAATGTCAGCCAGTTTCTCCGCCCAAGGGGGCACATTCTTTGCACTCCAAACTTGTTTGGCTTTGGCTTGAAGGCATTCCAAAGCATCCGTTGACTCGGGCTGGGGTGGGCGGCGCATGTTGACGCAGAGCAACGGGGAGTCAGCGGCGACCTCTTGAGCAATCTTTTGCATAATTTTAGTCTTGCCAAGGGACTTGCCTCCAATGACAAGGTACAAGCCCGTTTTTTGCATAGCCTGACCAGGGTTTTGCGAGAAGGTCACCAATTCTCACACCAAGCAACACAAGCTTACTTTAGATGCAAAAACAAGAAGCTCAGGCCTGCTGCAGCGCTTCGATGAAGTCAGTTCGTCCAGCGATCTGGTTGCTCTTTCTGTAAGCCTCTGCAGCCGCGCTGACCCCTTGCAAATATTCAATTGCACTGATGCCCTTGTCTTGGGCAACTTCATGCATGCGTTTTGGGATGTTGAAGGTCACGCCGTGGAAGCCGAAGACCAAGAGGAAAGGCAGAGCGACCGCAAGGCGCCTGCAGCGAGCTGAGGCGCTGCGTTTGCAAGCCATGATGCTGGGCAATTGCAAATGTTTTCTGGTGCATATCAAAACCTGAGGTGCAGACTTCAACATTTGATAGATCTGAACTGTTCTCTTGTTCTCAACTTGAGCCAACGGCGGAGAAACGCTGATCGCTCCATTTCATTATTCAACCCGCATTCTGCTTCCCAGACCCCAGGACCAGGCCAAAACCCATAAGCATAAAATCGAAAACAGGACCGTGGCTGGTCGGAGGGCAAAGAGAGATGAAGCAGAAAGAGAGATGTCAGCCACACGGACCGCTCTTGCGGGCAGACAGGAACTGGCGGCTGGCAGGGAAGGGTGGATGAAGAGATTGTTCGTGGAAGGGTTCCACTCATTAGGGCTTTACTGGGGGAGCATGTGCTTGTTGGTGGGGGTTCAGTTGAGAAAGCATGCTGTGCAAGCACAGCGCCGAGCAGGCACAGGGGCCCTGAGCAAGCGCGGCGGTTTCAGGCGCTATCACAAGCGCGAGTGCTGTCACAAGCACGGGAGCGCGCGGGGGCGCTGCTGTGCAGGCATCCGTCTTGGGAACGCTTTGGGGGGGTTGGAGATGCGAAGCAACGAGACGGCTTGGGCCAGCCCCTGACAAGAGAGTGCGGCTGCCCCGTTAAACGGCCCTGCATAGTCACCGAAGCGAAGAGCTCTCTGGAGGCTTCCTCCAGCTCCTTGCGGGCCTTCTCGACCCTCGCGGCCGCAGAAACGGTGGTGTCCTTCGCGACCTCCATGGTCGGCAGCCGCTCGGCGATCTTCTTGCCGACCAGCTGTTTTTCCGCTTCAGCCGCAGAAGGCCACCGCGTCGGCGGCTGCTTACGGCCAGCACCGCGTCATTGGGAGGGGCGCCCACCACGGGGGCAACCTCCTCGACCGAAGACGGGGCTCGTGCTTGACGCAGGGCTCGCATTCGACGACTGAAGGCGCGCTCGTGATGTCGAGGATCTCAAGCGTCACAGAAACGAGGAACAAGCGTCAGGAACGAGGAACAAGCGTCACAGAAACGAGGAACAAGCGTCACAGAAACAAGGAACAAGCGTCACAGAAACAAGGAACAAGCGTCACAGGAACGAGGAACAAGCGTCACAGAAACAAGGAACAAGCGTCACAGAAACAAAGAACAAGCGTCACAGGAACGAGGAACAAGCGTCACAGAAACGAGGAACAAGCGTCACAGGAACGAGGAACAAGCGTCACAGGAACGAGGAACAAGCGTCACAGGAACGAGGAATAAGCGTCACAGAAACGAGGAACAAGCGTCACAGGAACGAGGAACAAGCGTCACAGAAACGAGGAACAAGCGTCACAGAAACGAGGAACAGCGTCCACAGAAAAACGAGGAACAAGCGGCACAGGAACGAGGAACAACGTCACAGGAACGAGGAATAACAAGCGACACAGGAACGAGAAACAAGCCACGGAACGAGGAACAAGCAATCCAGAACGAGGAATAAACTCACTAAACGAGGAACTAGCGCACAGAACGAGAACAAGCGTCACACAGTACGAGGAATAAGCGTCACAGAAACGAAGGAAACAAGCGTCACAGAAACGAGGAACAAGCGTGTCACAGAAACGAGGAACAAGCGTCACAGGAACGAGGAACAAGCGTCACAGGAACGAGGAATAAGCGTCACAGAAACGAGGAACAAGCGTCACAGAAACGAGGAACAAGCGTCACAGAAACGAGGAACAAGCGTCACAGGAACGAGGAACAAGCGTCACAGAAACGAGGAACAAGCGTCACAGGAACGAGGAACAAGCGTCACAGGAACGAGGAACGAGCCGTCAAACAGAAACGAGAAACAAAGCGTCACAGAAACACGAACAAGCGTCACAGGAAACGAAGGAACAAGCGTCACAGGAAACGAGGAAATAAGCGTCCAGGAACGAGTGAACACGCACAAAACGGAACAAGACACGCCCACGACGAGCATCTGACCACAGAAAACGAGGAACAAGCAAACACAG